GCACCTGCACCTGGGCCCGTCCCCGCCCCTGCACCTGCACCTGGGCCCCTCCCCGCACCTGCACCTGCACCTGGGCCCCTCCCCGCACCTGCACCTGCACCTGGGCCCCTCCCTGCACCTGCACCTGCACCTGCGCCCCTCCCACACCCCTCCCGTGGGAAGGAGCTAAAACCCGCTGAATGGGGGGATGAATGAGCCCGGTACGCAGGGCCCAGAAGTGCTCAGCAGGGGGAGGGGTGAGCAAGTGAGTGAGTGGGTGAGTGGGTGCCTGCACAGGTGACGGGTGGGTGTGAGCTGTGAGGAGACTGAAAGTGGCATTCAAGGCCCACTGCCTCCTCTGCACCTGGGTCTCCCCAGCTGTAAAGTGGGCAGCACCCCTCCAGCCACGGGGCGGAGTGAATGCCAGGGTGTGAGTGCCTCCAGGAAGATGCAGCGAAAAGGGACCCAGTCTGGTATCAACAATATTGGGCCTGGGTTGGGGGGCGGGGGGAGCTGCCCGGGGCCCAGGAGGAAGCCAGGGAGACTCTGGAGGCAGCAGGGGAGGGGTTGATGCTCAGCTGTTCCTGCTCCTCGCGGTGGCTGCACAGCCCTTGCGCTTGGGTTTCCAGCTGTCCTCCCGCCCGAGGCCAGGCCTTATCTTGTCATCTAGACGGTCCCCAGAGCAAAGCACACACCAGGCCGCGGCCGGGGAGGCGCGCACACGCTGGGAAAGCTGCACCGCGGGCCGGGAAGTGGGGAGCCCTCACCCCAACACTCTGCTCAGGGCCTGCGTGTGAACGAGATAAGGGCGGCGTCTGGAAAGTCTGGATTAGAGCAGGTGCACCATTGGATCCAGGAGGCAAGGGGCCCACAGCCGTGTCTCAGGGGCGCCCACGGGGCAGCTGCCTGCTCCCAGGTGGTGCCCTCAGCTCCTGCAGCAGCGCCCCCCCCCGTCCAGATGGGCCCAAAGGGCCTGGGAATCACCCCCAGATGTAAGCCTCCTGCTCCCCCTCCTTCCCTCCTCCCCCGACACAGGGCAGGCTGTCACTCGCCCTCCTGGCCCCTCCAGGTGAGACCTGAGTTCTAAGCACGGTTTCTTCTCGGTGACCCTGAAGGTATAACCACTCAGGTCCCACACTAGATTGAAAAAGGGGCGTCGTGGGGACTCCTGCCCTGATGTCAGGAGTGGCCGCTGGTGTGGAACCCCATTTTGGCCTCAAGCGCCTCCTGCAGGGAAGTTACAAGTTTGCCAGGGTCCCTAGTGCACCCAGGCCGCAGCCCCAGGCAGAGGAATTCAAGTCAAGCCCTTGGCAGCCCTGGAAGCCAGCACTCCGCATCCACCACCTCCATCACCTCTGCCTCCATCACCACCATCACCATCACCTCCACCACCTCTGCCTCCATCACTACCACCATCACCATCACCTCCACCACCTCTACCTCCATCACCACCACCATCACCATCACCTCCACCTCCATCACCATCACCTCCACTACCTCTACCTCCATCACCTCTACCACCTCTACCTCCATCACTACCACCTCCATCACCATCACCAGCATCACCACCACCATGTCCATCACCATTGCCTCCATCACCACCACCTCCACCTCCACCAATAGCCTGGGGGTTGAGGGAGAGCTTCCCAACCGTCCTGCCAATCAGACCAGCATGACAGGCTTTCCATCTGTAACTCGATGGCGAGTCCCAAAGGTCTGGGCTCACCACGCGGAGAAGTCAACAGCATCCTCTCTGGGAAGCAGCCGCGGGAGGAGGCAGCCGGGCTGGGCGTGTGGTGGAGCGGAAGCCGCCTTCGGGCCGCTGGACCTCTGGGCGTCCCTCCTTAGGCTGTGCCCAGGGCTCCCGGGAGAGTCAGCCTCTGTCCCTCCAAAGCCTTTCTCGAAGGCGCGGCCACAGATCCAACTGGAAGTGGTCGCTATAACGTGTTTAAGATCCATTTCCCAGAGCAAGCCATTAGCTGCCTCCGAGAAGCGGGATCATTAGTGGAGCGAGTGCCCGGTGCCTGCCCCTCGAGTGGGAGCTGCGAGTGGGCTCTCACTCCCGACGTCCAGGGCTGCAGGAGTGAGCCGAGGAGGTGAACCTGACTCACTAAGGCCCCTGTCGGACAGGAGCCGATGCCTGGGAGGCCGGCTTGGGGCTGGGTTTTGTTCTAGGCCTGGAGCACCTTCATTTGCATTTATATTAAAAAAAAAAGAAGAAAACAAACAGAATTAACTAGAAAGGTGCTTTGTTTCCTGTAAATTCAGGGGCTCCACTAACCAGCTTCCAGGGGCAGAGCCCAGGACAGGCAGGCTCGGGCAGGGACCCAGTGAGCACCTACTAATCGCTCCCGTCGCTGGTGTCTGCAGGTACCAGGGCTCCCCCAGCCCCTCAGAGTCAACCTGGCAGGTGGCCACTGTGCAATGCCCCTTCCTCCTACGGGTGGGGAAACTGAGGCTGGGAGCTGGGAAACGCCCAGTGCGGCTGGACTCGGGTTCCAAGCTCAGTGTCTTCCCACCCCAGGGCGTGGACAATCTTTTCTTCCCTACCTTACGGATTATTCCAACCTTTCTCTCTGGTAAGGCAGCTGAGTGCTCAGTACAGGCAGAGAAGCATCAGCGCTGCCGTCAGGCTCCCTGGGGCGCACCCACAGCCCCTCTACGATGACACCTCGGCTGGGCCACCATTTGTAGGCATCACGGTGAGAAGCACCGGCCCAGAACCACCGGTCAGAATCAACAAACACACCCGCACAAAATTTATCTAACGATTTCTTTTCTCAGGCAAACCAGCAACTCTAGGTTCGATTTCAACTCCAACCCTCTCCTGGGACCGGCCCAGCGTGGCATGTCCCAGAGAGCAGCCAGACGCCCCCGTCCTGGGTGGAGATCACTAAAGACCAGGGGAGGGTGGCTTCCCTACCCTGGGGATCGGCTTGGGGCATCTGTCTTGCTCTCTGGCTTCCAGCTCACAGGCCCTGACCCCCAGGACCTTGCCTGCGCATGTGTGTTCCGGCCACAGCTCACAATGGAAGTTTACAGACAGAAAGGACCGTCATGACAATGACCGGCTGGCCCGTGGGGCACTGGGAGCACACGGCGGGCGAGGAAGGCTCTCCTGGGTTCTGGCCTCGGCCAGAGGTGTGGCGGACACGGAGCAAAGCTGGTTATGGAGACGACAGAAGGACAACTTCCTTCCAAAACCATGAGATGCTGCGGCAATGAATTAAACATTTCTGACAAGATGACTCTGAAAAGTGTTTGCAGCCGAGAAGGGAAGACAGGCCGAGCCGGGACTTCCTGTTGCATATGGCACAGCGAGCCGCTCCGCCAGCGCAGAGCTCCCCAGACGGCACATGCCGAGGGGACCGCAGAGGGGGAGGCCTCCTCCCGGGTGCGGGACAGACAGGACTGGAGGGGGACGGGAGAGAGGCCCCCAGGCCAGCACGGTGGCCCTGACGGGATGAGGAGAGGGTGTGGAGGGCAGGGTGCAGGCTGGGACAAGCTGCAGGTCAGACACCCCCTCCTCCTGCCCGGGGAGGGCACCCACAAAACTGGGAGGAAGGGACCTGCCTGAGCTCCCGAAAGTGTGATGTCTGCAAGTTCACAGAGCCCAGGCCTCAGGGTGCTGCCCCAGCACCCACCAGAGAGCGCTCGGTGCACAACGCCAAGTGGGGGCCAGGGGAGCCCCCAGGGCCTACCAGGAGGGCTCCCCCCAAGACCCGGCCAACTTCTTCGGTTTGCAGGCCGGACGCAGACTGGTCTTGCCCACAGCAGCCCTGGGCGGGCAGGCCAGGACCGTCCCTGACCCTCCTCCTTGCTCCCAGCACAGTTCCCCCGCTGCCAACCCCTCACCAATCACCAGATACAACCCCCACCCCCAGCCCCCTGCCTGGCACGACCCGCTGCAGAATTCGAAGAAGAGGCGCCAACAGGGAGGGGGCTGAAATCTGGGCTCGGAGGCTGGTGGCTGGCGAGGGTCAGCGCCGCCCACACCCCGGGAGCCGTCCTGGCCACCGGAGTCTCTCCGCGCGCGGTGGGCAGGCCCGGCACCCTCCCCAACACAGGGAGTTTTTTTTTTCTCTCTCTCTCTCTCTCTCTCTCTCTCTTTCTTTCTCTTTCTCGCTCTCTCTCCTCACCCCCTTTCTTTCTTAAAAATATCAATAAATAAAACTTAAATTGTTATGAGGGTTACTAGTAATACCCTCTTCGACCAGCCCTTACCTATGGTGGTGATGACAGAGATGGCAAAGTAGAAGGAGCCGGCGAATTTCCACTGGACGCCGGCGCGGTGCGGCTCCGACTGCAGGATGACCTGCTCCAGCTGCCGGTAGTCCTCGCCGCTGATGTTGTACTTCCCCTTGAGGCGTGTCTCCTCCGCCTTGAGTTTCTCCTCCTCGCGCATCTCGTGGTCCGACTCCAGGGCGTCGAAGACGGCGGCGCCCACCAGCAGGTAGGTGAAGGTGCAGACGATGAGGGACAGAGTCCGCACGTTCTGCCTCTTCATGGCCGCCAGCAGGGAGCCGGCGCGGGGGGCATGTCCCGC